AAAGAAAAAAATCAGAATACTGGTTTATGAAAATATGCAACATTATTCCCCTTTAAGACTCTTCTATGTGAAGAAGTAGAAGATTATACATGTATATTAAATTTTCTGTTGTTTCAAAGTCAATAATGTTCACCCCAAGACAGCTCCATGATAGCCTGAAGGTGTATGATTCTAGGGCCTTCATATTTGACAGTGCCAGTGCTCTCTCCCTGAGAAACAAGCACATATTAAACCAGGGACCCCTCCTCCCTTTAAAAAAAGTGGCAGGAGTATCCCATTTACCCAAGACAGTAAAACAGGGCAGGCATCGTGCTGTCCTGCACGCCATCATGGAAATGCACTGCACTCTCCTAACTTGGGCTGTTACCACTTCCCACTCAGAATCCGGACAGAGCCTGTTGTCCGTGCCTCTCACTCTGCTGTGTGGCCCACAGTCTATCCTGCAAGGCTGCCTCCAGATTAATCTCCCTCAAGTACCACTTTGACTACACCACTCAGCAGCTCAAAATACTTCACTAGAAACTTTTTTGTAATTGTGTGAAGTAGTTAATACAAACTTTCTTGCCCTGGCACTTACGTCTCTCCAAAATTTGGCCCAAATACAAATTTTATGTTCTAATTTATAACAGAGTTATCTGCGGTTCACTAGACATACGCTGTCCTTTTCTCCCTCTCTACTTCTGTCTAGGATAATTCCGATTGTAGACTAAACATGTACTCACTACGAATTTACTGAATGTTTTACTGATTGCAACATTAGTTTCTCTGAGCCCTGGGCACATCATTTTGTGGTTCACTAACAGAAGGCTTGAAAACCTGTAGTGTCTGTCAACATTATCCACTGGACAACCGGAATTTTTAAATCCTGAACAAAATCATGATCTAAAACGCATCAGAACGGAGATAAACTTTTCAGTCACAATTACATATATAACCTAAGCAAAATTTTTAGGAAATCCAAAAATAAAATACGGTAAAGTTGTAACTATTGATTAAAATATAGAGCACTGTTAACATGCAAGAGGGAACAAAGCAGCTAGGCATGGTACATGCTGAACACTGAAAAATGTCTGTTTGCTTCTTCTTTCTATTAGTCATCACTCTGTTTCTCAGCCAGGTTAGGAGAGTCTGTTATTCGGCATATAAGGAAAGAACAATCTCACGGCACTTTGCTTAAGGAGAAAAAAATACCCATGCGACTAATTTAACTTAGATTATAAAGTAACAAAAGCCTAGAACGGTGTTGCCAGATGATTTCTTTAATTCCAGTGCTGAGAGCTTTCTACTGCTTACATTGGGACTAGACTACCTGGAATAGAAGAACGCACATGGGCTTTGAAGACTGAGACCTGGGTTTGTATCTCAATTTGGAGAATATCACTGTGCGATCCTGAGAACATTACATAACCCCTAAGAAACTCAGTTTCCTCATCTGCAATTTTTAAAGAAACAATTATTACTGTTTCTCAGGGTTGTAAGACTTACGATAAGAAAATAAATAATAAGTAGCAGAACTTGTCCAACATCAGGAATAAATGTCAGTTCCCTTCCCTACTTCCCTGAACCACCTTTTATGTGGGAATACGCCTGAACCCATGCTGCCTGTTTCACTCAAGAACTCTGATTATTATCCAGCTATTCAGCATGGATACTGTCTTCATTTGTCCAAGTTTGAAAAGGTCATTTCTGGAACTCTACAAATGAATTAGTACTCCTTTCTAAAATATCAAACTATTGAAGTATCTGTAGTGTATTATTGAAATCTTATTTGGGTAGTTAGGGGTGAAGCATATAATGTGCGTGTGTGATTTTGGATGTGTTAACGATAGGGACGTGTTTAGCTCTTAGGGTACACACTGTACAGCATGTTAGCGTACTGAATACTGCAGGCAGCTATGACACAGTGGTGAGCATTTGCGTACTTAAACGTATCTAAACACGGAAGAGGTACACTCACCATGACGGGACCTTGTGAGACTGCAAGTTGCTCTGGGTGAGTCAGTGAGTGAATGTGAGGCCCAGGACATCACCGCACACTACTGTAGATTCTATAAACCCTGTACACTTAGGCTACACTACATTTCACTATATTTCTTTAAAAATTTTTTTCCTTCTTTAATAATAACCTTATTGTACTATAACCTTTTTACTTTATAAACTCTTTAATATTTTAACTTTTTGACTCTTTTGTAGTAACAGCTTAAAATATAGCTTGTGTATAGCTGTACAAAAATATCTTCTT